TTTGTAACCCAGGGTCTGTTTAGTCTCTTTGCTATGATCTGCTTAGTTTTTATTGGGCAATGCATGTTATAGAGGTTTTGGTTTTTTGTGAAAAAATATTAACACATTCATCAATACCTAAGTTGTCTGCTAGCTCGTTTTGCCAGTCAATGTCACTAAATGTTGAAATAAAGTTATTAACAGATGATTCATCATGGAGTTGGAATGTGATCTTAGGCATATCCTGGGGCACTTTACACAAGTTGGTTATGAGAAAGATGGGATAGTATACACAATACACAAATAACCCGTACACAGAAGAGGTCAGTAGTATTATCTGTGATTATGCCCGCTTTTAACGGGGATATAGTGTTCGTCCAGATATGGTGTAGTAATGAGGCATTTGTGTCAGTGATTCTTGTAGGTTTTGTTATTGTTGGTAGAAGTAAGCAGTTGTTCATAGTGTTTGTGAATTCAGTCACTTGTGGGTCACGGTCCTACATGAGATTTATATTGAAGTCCCCTGTAAGTATTAGGTGGTGGTTGTTCATTTCAGCGCTAGTTATTATGTTTCTTAGTTTTTCAATAAAAGAGTAAATATTGGAGTGAGGAACTGTATAAATTGCTCCGACTGTTAGAGGTTTTGTAAGGTCTTTGGATTTAAATTTAGCAAAGGTATATTCACCATGCTCGTCCCTTGTCCAAGTAGAATTTATACACTAGTTCATCAGAGTAGCATATAGCTGTTCCACCTCCTAATTGATCTGGCCTACAATTGTTTATGGCTGTGTAGCCAGGTATGGAATAGATGTTTGTAACATCATGTTTTAGCCATGTTTCAGTGAGAGTAATGATAGACATACTGACATTTAGAGAATTCAGTAGTGCCTGGAGGTCATCATAGTGCAGGCTAAGTGATCTGACATTATAACTGAATACTGTTATGTTATTGTTGGCACTGAGTAGTATCTTAGCCTGACTAGCAGTGTAATAAAGGCAATTGTTGTTAGGATCATGCGTGTCATTTAATAAAAGTTTAATGTCAGGATCGATGTTTGCAATCACATGACTAATGCAAGTTTAACAATGTTAAATAGTATAAAGATAAATAGTATAAATAGTATAATGTTGCACTGGAGGTGATACGAGAGCTTATACAAGCAGTACAAAGTGTAGGTAGCAGAAGAACTATTTTACAGATTGCACAGATACTAAACAAGTAATAATACAAAAAGCATTAAGTTAAAAGATAGTAAAAAAGTCTTAAATAAAATTTAAATAGTGGTCAGAGTTGGACCGAAACGTCATCACAAGTTTCTATGTGCGGGGTTATGGAAAAATGCTTGTTATGCAGAGCATTTCGGGCAATTAGGTCAGTTTTGTCCCAGGATGCGACCCATACCAGTCGACTAGCACCCCGGTACCCATTTTTTTTGATGAACAGACAACCGGGGGGTGTTTGAAGGGTTATTAAAGGAGATTTGGGGATTGGAAGTGGGGAATTATTTTGGGAACGGTTTTTGAGGATTATAGAAGCCCTTATTTGTTAGGGGGTGGATCACTTTAGAGTAAGTTCCGTTGTTAATTGGGGGGGTTTGTGAGGCAATGGTAAATTGGGGTAGGAAATGAAGGTGGGTTTTAAATTTTGAAAGGTTAATACCCTGGGGTTTTTTAGTGTTTAATATTTAATAAATATAAGGGGTTACCTAATTGGCAGGGCAATTGTTTTTGTTAAAGGGAGGGGTAAAAAGAGTTGAAAATTATTTTGTTTTGTGGGTTTAAGAATACTGGGAATTTAGGAGAGTTATAATTTAAGGGTTAAAAAAGAGGAATGGGTGCAATAACAAACTTTTAGAAAAATTGGGTGGTGTTTGCCAGTGTTTTCAGTGAATACAGGAAGTTTTAGGATAAGCTTGAGGTCTTTTGGAAATTTAAAATTTGGAAAAGGTTTGAGGTGGGTAGGGGGGAAATTGCAAAGTTCAAGTGTATTGTAAGGGAAATTTTAAAAGTAAAATTTTTACAAGGGGTAGTGAGGTCAAGTTTAAAAATGTAGGAAGAAGGGGAAAATTTTTTCAGTAAGTACCTTTAAAAAAAATTATACCCTGTTGTTAAAATTTAAAAAGGGTTTAAAAATAAATGGGTCGAGAGTTTGGGGAAAAGATAAGTTTTACCTTTTGGGGGGTTGTACAGGCCTTTCGATTTACCGTGTTTGGGAAATTCAAAAGATAAGGCAAGTTATTAATTTGTAATGTGAAAAGAAAAATTAAGGTGAAAACCCAAAGGTATTAAATGAGGAACAAAAGATTGTGATGAGATTTAAACCCGGGGGGAGGTTTGGGAGAAGTATTCCGGATATTTTGGATTTTTGTGTAGAATGGGGGTTTAAGTAAATTAAATTAGAGGAAAAGATGGGGGAGTGGTTGACTTAGGAGTCTGTGGAGGCCAAAGAACTTGTCTTGGGGGAAGAAGGGAAGGAGAGGTTGTAAACCCCGAAGGGTTGAACATTGAGGTTTTTAATGGAAAGAGGTGGCTGGAGCGATTAGTGACTGTCTTTGGGTTTGTGGTTTAAAATATTAAACATAATTTGTAGTTTTTGGAAGTTGGGGAGGGCGGGATTACCAAACTTTTCCAGGGCCCAAAGTTTATTTCACTTAGAAATTTGGGGGCCCCTTTCTTCAAATTTTTAGTTGTAATAAGGAGGGGTTTAGGTGGTATTTAAGTTTTAAGGAGGGGTTAAATTTTTCTGAAAGGGGTTTGGGCTTCACACATGTTTTGTCTTTTTTGATTAGGATTTAATGGAGACAAATGGGTTTTAATACTTGACGTGCTGTTGAGTGTGAGCAAAGTAACAGTTATGAAGGGATTCAGGGAAACCGGCAGGCCGGACTTTAGTCCTGGATATGGGAAGTACAGTGCCTGCACTCTGAATGAGGTGTTGATAATGTTTCAGTTTAAAAACTGTATTGTAAAGCACCCTTTCTGGCAGACAGTGATGAGTGAATGATGGTGAAAGTTTTCTTCTTCGGGCCACCCTGCCTTGGTGGGAATCGGCCAGTGTGATAATAAATAAAATAAAGTGATTATCTGTCCATTGAACTTCGTTTACCTTTACTTAATTTAGTCCCTTATATATTTTTCCTCCTTTATTTTAGCTTTAAAATAACTACCTCAGTTCAAAAAAAAAAATTTAAAAAATTCACAAATGTTAAAATAATCAAAGTGCCTATTCCTCAGGAGCTAAAGGTAATAAGTTTCACTATTTTGGCCATTAAATACTCCAGGGGTGCTATAGACTACCTCATGGTGCACTGATTTTACTTTTAATACAGTTCCTTTAACTATTATATCCAACACTCCTCTATTTAAACTTGTAAATATCTACTGTAGTTCAAAAATCACTTGTTAAAATAATTAAGGTGCTATTTAATACATTACTTCATTCAAGTGTATAAAGCTGAATTATCAATTCTGAATAATCACTTTTTCTTTCAAATTTTACAATTTTTAGATTAATCACGGAGTCTTAGTCATATGTCTAGTTGTAGATTCAATATAAACTTATATCATTTTACTCAGAAAATCTAGTTTGTAAAATTACTCTCATCCTATGATTACAAGGCAAAGATCCTGATGTAAACTTTTAACAAAATGAATTTCCATGAATCAACCAGTAACTGTAATTACTAACAACACAGCAACCACGCAAAAAGACATTACTCAGTTCAAACAATAACATAACCATCTTTAACTACAATGTCAGTCCTTGAGCAACAGTATGATGACCTCACAGCATTACTCAGTTTCCCTTCAATTCCAATATATCAATCATCACACTCATCAAGAAACCTAGCTTAAGCCTGATATTACAGATTTTCTATACTCATTCCTGGTTTCCCTGGCTACATGGCCATACACAACTGGTAAAACAGACCAGCAAGGGTGTATGAGTGTGTGTGGTATGAGTGTGGTGTGTTTGAGTTGTGTGTGAGTATGGTGTGTTTTGGTGTGTGTGTGTTTTGTGTGTTTATGTGTGTGTGTGTATGAATTTGTATGGGTTGTGTGTGTGTGTGGTGTGGGGAGGGAGGAGAGACTCAGCAATCAACATTTGCACCAATAACTCACTACAGTTGTGCCCGGGTGTGGAAGTGTGAATTGCTCATTACTCTAAAATTTGTTCATGATTGCAGCCTGTATAAACGTAAGTAACCTTCTTACAGTATTCATTACCTTTGTAACTTGTGAGTTCATTCCCTTTGTAACTTGTGAGTTCATTACCTTGTACCTAGTTCAGCCATCAAAAACTTTGGAGGCCGGTCCCTGGACCCATTGTGTACCTCTGTAATCTGTAAATACCTTTGTAACTTGTAATGATTGTGACTAGACCTACCTGGAGTTCATTACCTTTGTAAATTGTGAGTTCATTACCTTTGTAAATTGTGAATTCATTGCCTCTGTAACTTGCTCAGCTATCAAAACTTTGAGGCCCAGTCCCTGGACCCATTATGTACCTCTGTAATCTTTTGACTACCGCCCACAGGATGGGTATGGGGTGCATAATAAACATATTAAACTAAACACAGAAGAGGTCAGTAGTATTATCTGTGATTATGCCCGCTTTTAACGGGGATATAGTGTTCGTCCAGATATGGTGTAGTAATGAGGCATTTGTGTCAGTGATTCTTGTAGGTTTTGTTATTGTTGGTAGAAGTAAGCAGTTGTTCATAGTGTTTGTGAATTCAGTCACTTGTGGGTCACGGTCCTACATGAGATTTATATTGAAGTCCCCTGTAAGTATTAGGTGGTGGTTGTTCATTTCAGCGCTAGTTATTATGTTTCTTAGTTTTTCAATAAAAGAGTAAATATTGGAGTGAGGAACTGTATAAATTGCTCCGACTGTTAGAGGTTTTGTAAGGTCTTTGGATTTAAATTTAGCAAAGGTATATTCACCATGCTCGTCCCTTGTCCAAGTAGAATTATACACTAGTTCATCAGAGTAGCATATAGCTGTTCCACCTCCTAATTGATCTGGCCTACAATTGTTTATGGCTGTGTAGCCAGGTATGGAATAGATGTTTGTAACATCATGTTTTAGCCATGTTTCAGTGAGAGTAATGATAGACATACTGACATTTAGAGAATTCAGTAGTGCCTGGAGGTCATCATAGTGCAGGCTAAGTGATCTGACATTATAACTGAATACTGTTATGTTATTGTTGGCACTGAGTAGTATCTTAGCCTGACTAGCAGTGTAATAAAGGCAATTGTTGTTAGGATCATGCGTGTCATTTAATAAAAGTTTAATGTCAGGATCGATGTTTGCAATCACATGACTAATGCAAGTTTAACAATGTATAAATAGTATAAAGATAAATAGTATAAATAGTATAATGTTGCACTGGAGGTGATACGAGAGCTTATACAAGCAGTACAAAGTGTAGGTAGCAGAAGAACTATTCTACAGATTGCACAGATACTAAACAAGTAATAATACAAAAAGCATTAAGTTAAAAGATAGTAAAAAAAGTCTTAAATAAAATTTAAATAGTGGTCAGAGTTGGACCGAAACGTCATCACAAGTTTCTATGTGCGGGTTATGGAAAACTGCTTGTTATGCAGAGCATTTCGGGCAATTAGGTCAGTTTTGTCCCAGGATGCGACCCATACCAGTCGACTAGCACCCAGGTACCCATTTTACTGATGAACAGACAACCGGTGTAGTGATGCCCAATGTTTCTACCCTCGCCAGGAATCGAAGCCGGACCCCTCGCCTTGTGAAGCGAGAGCTTTAGCCACCAGGCCACGGGCCACCGTGTTTGTGAGCAATGTGTGCCGTGAATATTTTGCCAAGAATTTGAGTGTAGAAATTAGACGCTGTTGGTTTTCAAAAAGTTATAATTCAGAGGACAGACGATGGGTTGCCGAGGTGGTCTGAACATTTAGAGGGATGGCGCAGACTAGGATGGCCAAGAAGGTGTGCAAGTAAGGTAGAAGGCAGGAGGGATTGGAGTCATCCCAGGAAGAACTGAACATTCAGCAGGTTTTGATTGGAAAGGAAATGAGTGCTTTTCTTCCTGAGGGAATTAAGTTAGCCTGACTTTAGTTCTGTAGGTGACAAGTACAGTTCCTGCACTATTTAATGTCTTGGAATAAGTTTTGTTGGGGGGGAAGCAGGACCTACTACTACTACTCCATCCTCCCGTTCTACCAGTCCCATCCTCACCCCACTATCGTATATATTCTGCCTCTCTTTCCTTCACATTTCTGTGTGACTTGTTAATCAAAAGAGTTTGTTTATGGTTTATAATGTTTCATTTGTTATGCTCTTTAATTTCTTTGGAGTTCCTTTTTCTGTAAATACTTTTACAGACTGATCTCTACCCTGTTCATAGTTGCTTATTTATCTGTACGTATTATAAGTGTGATCAAAATAGGACGTAAAACATGGGAACAAATTGTTCACAGCCGACAAGTGGAGAACAGACAATTGGAGAAAGGAATGCAAAACAGATTAGGATTTAAAACAAGTCAGAATAGCAGTAAGAAAAGGGGCTGATGACACAATGACTGTGGAAGAAGGAAACTGACAATTATGGTGAAAGTAGGAAATAAGATAACTGACCGAGAAAGACGAAGCTCCACACTAGTAATGCCAGCAATACTGCCACAGACCATCGGAGAGACGGAAGCTTGCCAGCTTTCGCCTCACAGTGATCACCTGTAAAAGAGAATATCGTAATATTAATCTTGTTAAGGTTTACCAAGTGAATTTTTTTGCATGTAAAATCATCACCATGCTGTGAAGAGAAACTAGTGTTTACAGGAGCTTTTTGAAACAAAGGAACAGGTGGGGATTAAACTCATGGATATGCACTGGCCTGAAGTTTTAGGACTCACTTGCCATGAGTTCACGCCCCTCCCATTCCATTTTATTTTTTGGTTCCAATTGTGTTATTACGATTTTGTGAGACCCTTTGAGAGTCTAGAGGTCAAGCCACAGCATACTCTCACACTAGCACACGTACAGGCTTCAGTCATACAGCATTTCCTGGTAATTTGGAGTAACTGCAGAGTAATTTTGAAGTGAAGGGTACCAAAGAATTTTCAATGAAAAACATTGAAAACAGTAATAAAACTGTTTTCATTCATGTCATCCTATTTAACATCTCGCATATGTTTTTGATGATAATGTTGACTGCACTGTCTTGCATGTTAATCCTCGGTGTGAGCAATTTAGACATGCAGACACTTAATCTACTCGATTTCGACACTGTCCCTGGCTCCACAGGGTACACCTCATTAATCAATTGTCCTATCTTCTTCCTTTACTACTGTTTCTTTCTCAGATGAGATTAGATTATGGTCCAAGACGGACCCAAATGTCATCTAATGTCTCCTCTGCAAATTGAGGACTATTATGAATTTCAGATCCTCACAAACTTTCTCGTCACTCTTCATTGGCTCTCCTCCTTCCTTATACAGGTTTATTATCTGGTCTTCCATCGTCTTCTTCCTTCTCATGTGACGGTGTAAAATTTCGGTTCGGTTTCTCTTCTCACTATCACATACTCGTTCCTGGCTCTTCTGCTCCTTTCTCTGTCCTATACTGTCTGTGGTTCTTAATGCTTTCGCACTCCTGTGCTTGCTTCATTATATGTTTGGGGCAAACAAAGAATTCCCCTTCTTCTACCACCGATGCTGCTTCTTTCGAGTATAAATTCCTACTTCACTTCCTGGCATTTCCCGGTTCAGGTACTTCTTCATTTCATTTTCTTTCCTATTGTAATACAACCAGGTTTTCTCTCATTCATTCAGTATTTCCACTTCTGAATTATGATTTTTTTTAGTTTCCCTACCTGCAATGCTCATAATCAGGTTTACTTCTATAAGCAATGTGAAGCTAAGCACTTATGTGGTTACTGGTGGCCAGAGGCTTCAGTAACCCGCCTCACCTAGAGTATATCTGTCAGACGTGCTTCAAGCGAGGTCCAGGTCTAGACTCAAGTGTTTCCATTCTGTCAGAGTCTTTCTAATAGCTCGCTGGTTTTACAAACTCTTCTCCAGGTCCAGTCTTGATAGCTCTTTACATTGCCTTTGAGTATCTGACATGATAAATACCGAGTCCTGCCTTGATACATCCATCTTGGCTTGTAACGTATCCAGAGAGAGAGAGAGAGGAGAGGGATGAGAGAGAGGAGAGGGAGAGAGAGAGAGGGAGAGAGAGAGAGAGGGGAGAGAGAGAGAGAGAGAGAGGGGAGAGAGAAGAGAGAGAGAAAGAGAGAGAGAGGAGAGAGAGGAGAGAGAAAGAGAGAGAGAGGAGAGAGAGAGAGAGAGGGGAGAGAGAGAGAGAGAGGGGAGAGAGAAGAGAGAGAGAGAGAGAGAGAGAGGAGAGAGAGAGAGAGAGAGAGAAGGGGAAAGAAAGATGGAGAGAGAGAGAAGGAAGCGAGAAGAGAAAGAGAGAGAAGGAGAGAGAGTGAGAGAAGAGAGAGGAGAGAGAGGAGAGAGAGAGAGAGGAGAGAGAGGAGAGCAGAAAGCGTGTGTGAGTGGCAGGAGGGGAAAGCGAAGAATATGCACATCATGTAAGGGTCTACGTACCTAGGTGAGAGTCAGGACAGCTGCAGTAGTAGCCTGGATCCCTGTTGATGCACGAGCCACCATTCAGACAAGGTGACCACACACACTCGTCAGTGTCGTGACAGGCGCCTCCTTCCCGTGTCAAGGTGGAACCAACTGGACACCTGCACACAAATAAGAACACAAAGTTTGTGTTTTGTGATGCCCAAGTTTTATCTCTATAAAATATTTAACGTTGATCAATAGTGAATATTTATGAAAATGAAAATCAATTCTGGATTATTGTCCTTTTTTTTCCAGAAGCAAAGTAATTTAAATCAAGCTTGTCTCGGTATTCTCTCGTTGAAAATCAAGTTGACACTGTTTCTAAAGGAACACGTCATAATGGGAATAGGAGATAACATTATCCAGATATGATCTTTTAATCTTTATGGTTCAGGTGATTTTTTTTTAAAGTTGAGTTGGTGCTTTGTCTAATAATTTGTTTGAAAAATTAAGATTACATTGAGGTTGTGGATTTCGTCGCTCTAGAGGTTAAATGGTGTTTAAAACCTCTCAAATAGGAGCAGAAATTGTTGCATTTGCAGTCCTGCAGAATGTGATAAACAGGCAACTGGACAAGACTCCATAATCAGATGGGAAGAGGATAAAATTACCCCAGTTGAGCAATGTCTATTTATGTCGAAATTTCTGGCCAGTATTTTTCTTCACATTTTAGGCAGGGGTTTGTGTATGACACACCAAGTAATCTCCAGACAAATTGGCGAGTATTATTATAAATTCTTCTTCAATGTATATATTCATTAACTAAATTTAACATACAGCCCACATATTTATATTAATGTTTTACCATAATTCCTGGTGATGTACATTTCATTTGAAACTAATATAGGTCCAGAGTGACTTGTGGAGATAGAGAGTGGAGTAGGAATCGAAGGGGGACATTTTTTGCAGCCTAGGATGTCCTAAAATTCCTACATGTCTTTGTAACCTTGATAAAGAATAATAATCTTTGTTACTATTTACTGGTATGTATCTTGTGAGGTTCATCCAGGTTCATGAAGGTTGAAGAAGCAATCAAGGACTGGAATCAGAACATGCACACTCGACTGAATGAATACCTTGATTTCCAAGACGACAAAACTGAACAAGTCTGATGCAGCTATAACAAACAGTTCACACATTCCTAGTAACATAACCCAAGAACAGTGCAAAGAAACTGCTATCAGGATAATACAGCACTATGTACAAGTTATCGTGCAAAACAATGAAATCAAAGAAACACGTTTGTTAGGAAGACAAGGTAGTAAACAGTATCATGATCAGATTTCATTCATATGATAAAAGAAAGGACTTAATTAAATCAGCAATTACAATGAAAAATGGAGTGTACATCAACGAGTGTCTAACGAGAAAACGTCAAAGCCTTCTGTTCAGGTTGAGAAAACTTAAACAGGAAAACAAAATACATCAGTGTTTCACTCGAGATGGGAAAATACTAATTAGAAAAACTTCAACAGGACAATACACCATCTCAAATGAACATGATTTCTCTACCTTCCTTAGAAAAGTTAACATTTCTGTAACAGATTAGATAAGTGTCCTTAACACATATATACGTGTGGTGCATATAGTGTATGTTACTATTATATTATTGTGCATTATTATTATTTACTATTACATTATTGTGCATTATTATTTTTTCTTTTACTAGCTAATACCAGCTACCTCAAATACTTTTTACTTTTTAATTGCTTTTATTGCTCATAATTTTGTGTTGCAAGACAAATCTTACTCCAAATTAATGTTATTCATGGTTGCTACCTGTCCATTTAATTCAGCTTACCACTACTATTTTAATCCCCTTTATATTGTGTGAGCAATTAGTGTATATTCCAATTATATTATTGTGTGAATCCCTAAGCTATCTTTTGCAAGCTAGTACCAGCTACCTCATATTTCTCTACTTTTTATAGTGCAATTAATTGCTTAACTTATTATACATTACAACTCAGATCTTACTCCCAAATCAATATTATATCATAGTGACTATCTGTCCATTGAACTTTGTTCACCATTACTTAATTTAGTCCCTTATATATTTTCTCCTTTAGTTTTATATAACTACCTTAGTTCATATATTCACATTTGTTAAAATAATCAAAGTGCTATTCTTAGGGGCTAAAGTGTAACAAGTTCACTATTTTGCCATTATATTATATCATAAGTGATTATCTGTCCATTGAACTTTGTTTACCTTTACTTAATTTAGTCCCTTATATATTTTCTCCTTTATTTTAGCTTTAAATAACTACCTCAGTTCATATATTCACAATTGTTAAAATAATCAAAGTGCTATTCTCAGGAGCTAAAGTGTAATAAGTTCACTATTTTGCCATTAAAATACTCCAGGTGCTATAGACTACCTCAGGTGGTACTGATTTTACTTTTAATACATTCTTTTACTATTATATCCATTAGCTCCTCTATTTTAACTGTAAATATCTACTGTAGTTCATAAATCACTTGTTAAAATAATTAAGGTGCTATTAGATACAGTACTTCAGTGTATAACTGAATTATCAATTCTGTAATAATCCCTTTTTCTTTCAAATTTTTACAAGTTTTAGATTAATCACGGTGTCTTAGTCATAAGTCTAGTTGTAGATTCAATATAAATCTTATATCATTTTACTCAGAAAATCTAGTTTGTAAAATTACTCTCATCCTATGATTACAGACATAGATCCTGATGTAAACTTTTTACAAAATGAATTACACGAATCAACCAGTAACTGTAATTACTACACAACAGACCAAGCAAAGACATTACTCAGTGCAAACAATAACATAACCATCTTTAACTACAATGTCAGATCCTTGAGCAAACATTATGATGACCTCACAGCATTACTCAGTTCCCTTCATTCCAATATATCAATCATCACACTCACAGAAACCTGGCTTAAGCCTGATATTACAGATTTCTATACCATTCTGGCTACATGGCCATACACAACTGTAGAACAGACCCAAGGGGGAGGAACAGCTATATACTATTCAAATCAACTCGAATGTATCAATAAATCTTGCACAAGGGATGAACATGGAGAATATATCATAGCCAAATTTAAATCAAAGACCTGCAAAAACCCCTCACAGTTATAAAATCTACAGAGTACCACAGTCAAACACTTACCACTTTAGTGAAAAACTAGGAAACATGATTACTGATGCACACATGAATAATGACCACCTACTACTAACAGGTGATTTCAACAAACATACTACACGACCAGGACCCACAAGTAACCGAATTCACAAACACAATGAGTAACTGCCTGTTGCTACCAGCAATATCTAAACCTACAAGAATCTCTGAGACAAGCATCTCCTTAAATAGACCACATCTGGACAAACACCATATCCCCTTTAAAATCAGGCATAATCACGGACAACACTACAGACCACTACCCAACCTTTCTCATAACTAATCTGGGCAAACTACCACAAGACATTACTAAAGTAACCTTCAGACTACATAACGAGACAGCAGTTAACAACTTTATAGCAGCTATGAATAACATGATTGGCAAAATGAGCTTGAAACATATACAGATATGAATGAACGTATAAATAATTTTCTAAAAAAAGCCCAATGCCTCTACAACAGACATTGCCCCAAGAAAAACTAAACAGATCACAGCAGAGACACTGAATAATCCCTGGCTAACACCAAGCATCCTCAAATCCATTAACACAAAGCACAAATATGAAAAACAGTATAGAATGGGTCAAATAACTAGAGAACAGTCGAAAAGTTACTCGTCAGCACTTACCAGCCTGATAAGAAGGTCAAAAAAATTGTATTATGAAAATAGATTACATAACATCAAAGGTGATATGAAAAAAAGCCTAGAAAACTATCTGAAATTCTTGGAACTAAAAAGTTATCCAAAAACAAAGCAATCAAACTAACAAAATCAGATGAACCCCTACTCACTCCAACCGAAACAGCAAACAGACTTAATGTTTTCTTCTCCACCATAGGAAAAAATCTAGCAAACAAAATACCAAGCACAAACGCCCGTCCATCAGACTACCTCATAGGAACCTACCCAAATACGCTATTCCTAGCTCCAACCCCACTGAAGTTATGCTCATCATCAACACCCTTAAAAACAAGGCAGGAGACATAACTTGCCTGCTTTTATGTACAAAAAAGCTTCTCAAGTATTGTCACCAATTATTGCAACGATTTTTAACAAATCCAGTGAATCATCTACCTTCCCAACAATCCTCAAAATAGCGAGGGTCACTCCGATCCATAAAGGAGGTGACCAAGCTGACTTGAATAACTCTAGACCAATATCTAACTTACCACTGCTCTCTAAAATCTTTGAAAAAATTAATTCATAGACGGATCTATTCCTACCTCGTTTCACACAACATATTAAACCCTTGTCAGTTTGGATTCAGAAATAATAAAAGCACAAATGACGCCATTATACACATGCTAGAACTAATATATACAGCACTTGAAAAGAAAGAAGTCCCGCTGGGCATTTTCATTGATTTACGTAAAGCTTTCGATACAGCTGACCATGAACTACTGTACTCCAAATTAATGCACTATGGTATCAGAGGCCACTCCCTCAACCAGCTAAAGACATACCTTAGTAACAGAACTCAGTATGTGTATGCAAATGATGCAAACTCCTCCAACCAACCAATCACAGTAGGAGTCCCACAAGGAAGCATCCTTGGACCACTCCTCTTTCTCATCTACATCAATGATCTACTGAATGCATCACAGCTACTCAAACCCACATTATTTACAGATGATACTACATATGCATTTTCCCACCCAAACGCAGTCATACTAGCAAACACAGTCAATGCTGAATTACAGAAAATATCTGCCTGGATGATGACTAACAAACTTACCTTGGACACTGATAAAACCTATTTCATTCAGTTTGGAAACAAAGCTGCAAATGATCCAATTAACATTACCCTAAATGGATCATCAATCACAAGACTTACAGAGGGAAAATTCCTAGGTATCCACCTTGACAGTAGCCGGACACACACACAACAAATCACCAAGAAAATCTCCAAGACTGTAGGCACACCATCAAAGATAAGGTACTAAGTTCCACAA